ATAAAAATCTCCTATTAAGCACCTTTTGCCATGCAAATATTAATCGTTTTATCCAAAACAGAATCAACAGATTAGCCCAAAGCTGTACTGATGTCAAGTTAAGCAGAAACAGCTGAGCTTTTCACACGTTGATGTTAGAAGTATTTTTTGCTACAAATGCTGTCATTGGATTTTAGGACGGTCGTGACCTCTAACCCCATGATCCACAGTCTCAAAAATCCTTTCTATTTAGTACATGAGGTTTTTATTTCCCCAACTATCATTGAGGCGAATCAATGTAAAAATACTAATTTCCTGCAGTGTATAAATCTGAAATGATCCCATTCCTGATGTGTATTCTGTATTTATTCTGTAAATAAAAGGAAACTTTAATCACTTTCTTAAACTGACTAAACAAAACTCTTATGATGTGCTTGTCACAAAAAAAACCCCCAACATAAATAATGAAAATCACAGCAGACTTTTCAAAACAAAACCTATTTTTACACAGAAGCTACAAAATAAATTGCTGCTGAGCAACATTTGTTTGCCCGCTGCAGGTCTGTGGGACAGCACATGCGGTTTCACGGGGAGATGAGTCACCTGGAGTGTGATGTTGCTCGTGTCGATGCCAGAAATCTGCACGTTGGGGCACACCAGGCTGGCCGGGGTCAGCTGGAGGTGGATGCCGTCCAGCGTGGTCAGGCCGTCCGGGAGGGAAACGGTGAGGTCTCCCGCAGCTGAAACACGTACGCAGGCAGAACTTTACAAGGCTGTAATGGTTTACAGTGTTCCTCCTTGAGACTGTGAAAGCCTGTTATGTCAGACTTCAAGCTTTTCTATCAATCCAAAGAGCTTTCGCTTGATCAGAAATGCATCTAAGCTGAGGACAGACATGACAAGGGATCTTTGAAGGCTCTCTGATTAGATTTAGGCTGGAAAGATTCAAAAGCTGTGCTGTGAATTGAAGAGATAAAGCAAAGAAAGTGGCGCTTGGTGGTAAAACAGCTTCGTCCTCCTGGGTTTGACTTGTTAAGCCGTGACATGAATCATATGGTCTGAGTAACAGCACAGATGCTCCCATAAAACGTCCCACCAACACAGAGATGATGATGGTGATGGCCTTTTTCAGGATTTCACCTACACTGCAAAAACACAAAACCTTACCAAGTAGTTTTGGTCCAGTTTCTAGTGCAAATAACTTATTACAATTCAAATAAGACAAAAATGACTTACAAGTAACTTTTTGTCAATGTTTAGGAGTTTGTTTGAGTCGATAATTCCTTAATATTGACTAAAACAAACATTGTTGCACTGGCAGAATTGTTTTGTTATAAGTGAAATAAAATCTGCTAGTGGAACTATTATTTTTTAAGTATGGCGCTAATTTAAGACAAAACTAACTTCCAAGTTTTTATCAAGATATAGAAGCTTTGTTTTAAGTTAATAATTCCTCAACATCAATTTTAAAAGGACTAGTTCCACTGAAAGATTTTGTTCATTTATAATATGGCAAAGATGTGAATAAATCTGCCAGTGGAACTAATTTTTTTAAAATCAATATTAAGGAATAATTGACTTAAAAACAAACCTCTATATTTTGCTGAAAAGTGACTTGCAAATTAGTTTTGTCGTTTTTCAAGTGTACTAGAAATCATACTTGGTAAGATTTGTGTGTTCACACGCTGCCTTTAGAGCATTAATTATGAGCTGTATATCACAGAGTAGTGATGTCAAAGTGACTCTTCAGGATAATGCAACATGTCGCCCTGAGCTGAGATGCTACGCTCAAGTGGATAAAATCAATTCTTTGTAACAAATTCCACATTAAGTGCTTTATATCTGCTCTGCAAACCATTTTCCTTCAACAAAATGCATTTCATTGTTCAGTTGTCATCAACAACACCCACCTGACATAGAGGCTGGCAGGATGGCCTGGCTTACGAGGCCCGGCTGCAGCAGGTTCTGGTCGAACTGCCCGCTCAGAACCTGACTGGTCGGAAGGTAGATGCTGGGGTCAGAGCTGGGCGCCTGCAGCAGACCCACAGGCTGGAGCGGCTCAGAAGCCGCCGGTTGCTGGCTCTGACCGGAGGCCCCGGTCTGCCCGGTTCCTGAGTCCTGGCTGTGTCTGGAGTGGCCGGCGGAGGAGCGCTTGGATTTGCGGCTGTCGCTGTTGGGCCGGAAGTGGCACTGGATGTGGGTTTTGCGGTGCCCCGAGGTCCTGAAGCGCAGTTCGCAGAAGGGACACTTGAAGGGCTTGGAGCCCGTGTGGAGGCGCATGTGCACCTTAAGGCTGCCCTTTGTGGAGAAGGAGGTGTTGCACATGTGACAGCTGAACAGTTTCTGACCTGCAAAAATAACGCAAGTCAAATCGCTGCTCAAAATCAAGTTTGCTTCTTTGAAATCAAACGTCTGTGAAAAGACTTCATTTCTCCTTTGTGCTGCTCACCTTTTGTAAAAGTTGAAAATATTTTACAACTTGAAAATTACAAGAACAACCTTTGTTTTGGGAGTCTGCTGATGACAAGAGCTTCAGCACTTTGATGGATTTCTGCTTTTGATTTCAATTTTAAATCCAATCCAATTCAATCCAAACACCAAGTACTGCCCAACGGATGAAGTTATACACCTTCTATTAATGCCAAACTTCAGCTATTGATTAACATTAGAGTGTGAGTAAAACACATTGTGATAGTCAGGGCCGTTTCTTCCATTGAAAACAACTCTTTTAAAATAAAATATATATTTTTCACAATATCACTGGTGAAGCTATTCTGTAGCTGTAAAAAAAACTTTTAGAGATGCACCAAGAAATTGTTGGTTATTTAAATAACACACTTGCATTTTTTATTTTTTTTTAATTTATGTGTGGCATAGTAAAAAACATTCTGTTACTATTTGCGGTTTTTAAAGATAATTCAGGACTGGCTAGAATCAGCTTCAATGTAACAATGCTGCATAATTATGTCTCATTGTTTTTAATGCATTGTTCCCCTGCTTCGTACACCTCACTGGTGTTTTACCTGTGTGTGTTTTCACATGGCAGTCGAGGGTTGATTTCACCGTAAAACTCTTCCCACATTCGTCACACTTGTAAGGTCTTTCACCTGTGTGGATCCTGATGTGTCTAAATAGGAAAGCAGATTGTGAAAAGTCACATGCAGAATAACTCGCTGACACAGATACGTTTCACATTTGTGAACACAAAAAAAGAGATAAAAAAAAAAGAGCAGGTATGAAAAACAAGAAAAAAGTTACTGCTAAGTCTCTGGGTCATATTAAAATATAGGGAGAAATACGGCTCACTGTAGCATTTTCAAAAGGAAAACGGCCTGAAGGCTTGACAGAGGAATTTGGGATTTGTCCAAAAAACATGAAAGAGGAGCTTAAAGTTTTTCATTTTAGCACCAAAACATTTTGCGATAAAGAGAAAATGTGGCACTAAAGATTATTTACCCACTTCTAAAATTGCTGAGAGACATCTTATAAAACTATAATTGGTAGAGTAGCTCCACTGATCAAAGAGAGCTAAAAAATCTTTGAAAAAAATAAACAGAACAAAAAACCCCCTGGTGTGACAGTAAGTAAAAGATAACCGTTAGATGGTATCTTTGCGAAACAATAACAGTAACAATAACTCTGATAACAACAGTTTGTTGTAGAGGTACAATTTATTCCATTTAGTTTGTTTATTCATATAAATAAATGCTAGTTTAACAAAACAGCTGTTGATCAGGTTTAAAGGAGGTTTATTTCAAAGAGGTGATTTCTCTTAAAATGACTTGGCAGACCTTGTAACCTCTTTTTGGCCATGTCCACAGCTTATTCCAGATTGAGGTCAAGACTTTGTGATGGACTTTGACCTTCTCCCTAAACCTGCATGTAACTAATTTGGATGTATGGAGCGGATTGTTGCTCATTTGGAAAACTCAAGCTGATGTTCCAGCTTAAATTCCAGACTGATGCTTCAATATTTCCATATGACGTTATTTCCTGAAGCGCACCCGTCCCTCCTGAAGCAAAACACCGACGCATCACGAAGCTGCCAATCCTTTACCTGACAGCTGGGTTTAATGTTTTTCCTTTGAACATAACTGCTTGTTATGACCAAACGTTTTCATTTTAGTTGTACCACATCTTTTGAAATGCCTCCAAAAGATGTGGCATTTATTCCTGAGTACATGTGCAAACTATGTTGTGCTTTTGCAGAGTTTCTTTCTATTGGAGTCTTTTAGCTAGCATCAGTAACACTGCTTGCTTCCACGGGGCTAATGATGCTAGCAATTTCAGCTAGCATCTTGATAAGGTCTTTTGCTTTCCGTTTTGGGGTCAAGACTCACATTTCACACCAAAACCTGTCCATCTCTGAGATGGATCCATCTTTCTCCCAATCGATGCGGTTGCTGGAATTCTCAATCTATTTATATCTTAAATTTGATTGAGGGTTTATAAGTTTTACACTGCAGCATTGGAAAGACCAGAAAAGCTTACGTCCTTCTGACTTGACAGGAAAATGACCAGAAACAGAGGTGTGACCTTTACCTGACGAGGTCGCTGGGCTTCTTGAAGCTCTTGGGGCAGTAACTGCAGCAGTTGGCAAACTTGGGTTCGGTTTCCAGCTCCACCGCTTTGTCCTTGATCTCGCTGATGCGATCCCTCTCGGCCGCCGACTGGGCGAGGATCCGCTCCGACACGGAGGCCTCCTCTCCGGGGTCCTTGGCCAGCTCGGCTGCCTGCTCCTCGGTGAAAGTGATGATCTCCAAACTCCTCCTTTTGGACGTTTTTTGATCTCCGTCGTCGTCGTCATCGTCGTCGTCATCCCCGTCTTGAGGCTCGAGATCTACAACTGGCAGACGTGCGAACTGTCAGCGCAACCTGAAGTTTGAACATGCCTACCCTTTACTTCAAGATTTTACCTTTGTTTCTTTTCGGTGCAGAACAACACAAAAAAAGAATAAATGAGAGACGGATGGAGCGCAGCATCAATGTGAAGCTCTTTAATCACGTGAGCTGAACTTAAATAAGTTGACTGGGAAACAGACTCCGCTGAGAACCGCATGAAAAGGGTTAAAAGTAGCTGCAAATATGGCTCCAAGTATCAAGTGTTCATTGCATCATTTTATCTTTCTTATCAATACCACAGTTTCAGGCACACCGGTACTTTTTTTCTACAGGTCAAGACAGAGTGACGTGGTCAGGTTGGGTGTTATCTCACAGTGCAGCTGCCTACACTGGAGGACAGCCTTGGTCATTTGTCTGACACCTCGCACAGCTGAAGCTTAAACATCTGATGTGGACTCACACACTGAGCCACGCAGAGAGCATAATTCCCTCAGTGCATTTCTCAGAAAAGTCCACGCAGTCTTACGGGTTTTCTCAGTATTTCTTAGAACAGATTTGAAATTCTCAAAACCACTTGTTCAATCTTCAAATGATTGTGTCCCCTTGCGCACATTGAGAACGCAGTTTCTTGTTTCTGATGTTCAAAAGCATTTGCTTTTGCTTTTGAATGTCCAACATTTTCAATTGCTTGTGGCGTGTTACAGGTCTTCATTGAATGGTCTGGACCTCCACAACATTTAAGCATAAGTTTGTGACCCACAAAAAGATTCTCATGGAGTTCCTCTCATCCTGCTCCTCAATCCTTTACTTTATTGAAGATCTTGTTTTCCCCTCTGCATGAAAATGGGAAGTATAGGAAAACTGCACTGTAATTCTTACAGGACTGCATGAACAGTTTTCCATAAGGAGATTGTCTTATGTTTTTCTTAGTGCTGTCTTTTCCTTTCTGTGTCACATTGACGAGGTATGTCAACAAATTACAGTAAAATGTGAATTCTGTCCAGTCTCTTGCCATTAATCTCCCACAAATACAATTTACAGTACTTGTCATTAAAACTTTAACCTTAGATCATATCGGAACATCCCTTCAGAGTACCCTGCTATATTGACAGCATGACTTATTATTTTCATTGCCCGATCTGTATTCAGTGAAACAAAGGCTCATCATTCTGATGCACTGAGATGTTCATGGACAAATATTTACTTTTGAGAGATGAAGTAAGGATTTTGAGAAAGAGACTAGCTTTTGCAGGTAATCCATGCTGTTCTGCTGTCTGCATGAATTGTTTCGAGGGATGCTTTGCAAATGTCGAGGTTGATTCGAGAAATGCACCAAAGCACCTGAGAATATCTGTAATTGATAAAGGGCTACTAGACCAACTGTTGTAATCTTGTTGACACGTCTTTGGATTTTATAAAACATCGAAAACTGACTGACTGTCAACTCAGGAGCAGAGCTGTATGTATTGCTGACCTGCCTTACATGCTGATTGGTCTCATGGTGATGTTTATTTTTCTAAAGTACTCCAATAATTTATCCTGACATTTGCTGAACAACTCTGTTTACTGATGATTTACCTTACACCACTTCTAAAGGAATATCCTAGCCAAACATACTGAACATATGCCAACCGCAACAAAGATATTCATTGGTTTTGATCAGGTTATTCAATCATCAGGTTCATTCAGCATCCAGGTTTTTCAGGAACCCCTGATCATTCATGTGACCTCTTTGAAAAAGTATTTCTTTAGAAGTGTGGACTGTCAACGATGACATTAGCGTTCGGGTTGTCTGTGCTGAGATGGTATTTTAGGCTTCATTAGCTTTGGTGACAATTTAACTCCTTTTAGCACAACTTTCACGCAGTAGACTTTAGAAGACTATTGTGCCATTAGATCATTTTTTTTTTTTTGTTCTTTTTTCATCTAGTGTGTCAAGAGAAGCGGCTTTGGCGTCCATCGCTGTTGTTCTCGGTTGTCACTTGTGAGTAAAATTTACAGGCGTACCAGAAACGTGCAAATACAAAGGTTCCGGCCGCAAATGTATTAATTGCGGCAAAGTTTTAAACAATTAAAAATCTATGGAATGAATTCGCGTGAATGCATTAAAGTCCCAGCCCTCTGTTATCTATATTTAATAAATGATATAACATTTTTAGCCTTATGTCCATATGTTCCACTAGTACATAAAATCCTATAATAATATTCTTCACTGTAACACAACAAAATGTAAAAAAGTGAAAAAACCCATGAAAATGAATCTAAATCACTGAGAAGGAGCATCATGTGAGAAATTGTGACAACAAAAATCATATAAAGAGCTGAGAAATCCAGATATGGTGTCGACGTCCTTACCTTTTTCCTCCACACCGTGCTCCTTCTTCATATGCTTTTTACAAAACAGACTGGTGCGGAAGCACTCGTTACACATGGAGCATTTGAATGACTTGCTGTGGATAAACGCATGCCGACTCAGACTTCCATTAGTAGTGAAAGAAGCTTCACAAACGTCACACTTATACGGCTTCATCCCTGTAAGGCAGAGGTGAGAGCAAAGCTGAGTGTCTGAAGTTTTCTAAGTATTTGAAACCGAAATTAGAAAGCAGATTTCCTCTGATGCGGTTCCGGACAACATTGAGGGATTTTAGAACTCTCTGTTCGATACAGAAACGATTCAGAACGTTTTCCCACCTCTGAAAAGAAAGCTCACCTGTGTGTGTGTTGAGATGGGACTTCAGCACTCCAGCCGAAACAAAACCTCGTCCGCAGAGGTGACATGCGTACGGTTTCTCCCCTGTGTGGGATCGGATGTGTTGCTTCAGATGGCTCGACTTTTTGAAAGCTTTGGAGCACCAGCTGCATCTGAAGACAGGCGAGGGTCAGGTTTAGGAAAATTTATTTATCATTTCAGGTCGTCTTAATGCAAAATGGATGAGAACAGAGTGTTCGGGCATGTAATTTTAAGACGGATTCAGCCAGGAGGAATTATCTCCCGTCTCCAGAGGAGCCGGCTGGTAAAACAAAGCCTTTGTTTCTTGTTTGTTTTGTAGCCGAAATAAATGTTTGCAAGAAGAGAGCCAGTTATTGGAACAATGAGCAACTATTGAACAAGTGAGAATGAAAACTGCAGAGGCAATAGCTCTTTGTTTTAGAAGGTTTCTTCTATTCAAGGCTATTCACACATCAGATCCGCTGATTTCTGTCTCTCTCATGTTTTATTCATTTTATTCACTGTGAAAAAGAAATTTAAACAGTGATAAGACTTTCCTAAATTTAAATCTACATTGTAAAATCCAGAGATTTATTTATTTTTTTTTTACAGTCAGAGAAAATAAGCAAACCGAGTCAATGTCGTGCCCGGTTCCACAGCTTTGATTCCTATTCAAGTATCTTTTCAAGCTTATGGAATGGTCAGGCCTAATTTTATGGGATCATCAAGTTATGACAAAATTACACCATGCAAACATAATTTACTATATGCAGAGAAACATGATCTTATTAGACACAAACAGTTAAATGTTGATTTTACAGTTTCAGAAATTTCCCCAAAGCTTCAAATTTGAGTTGGAAATTTAACACAACACCCAGATATTTGGAATCATCAACTTTTTGGATTTCCTCGTGATCCTTGAAACGAACCTGTAGGCTCTCTTGGTGTTGTCTTCACCGTCTTCCTGGTAGTCTGCTGCTTCTGTAGGCAGCTGGAGATCAGCCTGGCTGCTCTCCTGAAGAAGTCCGTTTGTCTGCATTAGCAAAGAAAAACCAACACATCAACAATCCAATTATAAAATATACCAGATTATATTTCACTGCTGCGGGAAAATTCCACTGCATGCTTTTTGAAACAGTTTAATCAATTCTTAAGTCTCCTGGGAGACTTAGATTAAAAAATTAGCTTTACTCAACTGTTTCTGAAGCAAAACAATGTAAAGGGCATATCACCTTTTGAAAACACAAAAGATGATTTATTTTTTTTATTTTATTTTTTTTTTTTTTTTACAAAATTTGAGTACTCACAACCTCTGAGCTGGGGACATGGAGCAGGTTTGGAGGATGATAGCTGGAAGACAGAGCCTGGGACTCCAGTGTGCTGGAATCCTGCAGCTGCTGGACAGCGGAGAACTGGGGCTGGTTGTAGCTCGGCTCCGGTATGGTGAACCCTGGGTGTGGGAAGTAGAGATTGTTTATTTCCTGGATAATTGCGTTCTTAGCACAACCACAGAAGCTAATATCTACGGTCTTCCTTATGTCGGCTGTTGATGATACAGCCAGCCTTCACCGAAGAAATTAAATATTGCTCCTACTGGATTGGCTACTTTGCAAATGTCAGGCCGAAGTAATGCTGTTTAACACATAGGCGAGTTTTTCACAAATAACTTAGTTACTTTCCATAGAACAAAATACTGAATAGAAAAGGATCCACTGTGTTTCCATCTTCTTGCTATTTGTGTTTATTTGTATTAGGGCTTATGACAGTGATCGTGGAGGATTGTGTTGTATTTAACTGAGGCAATGGTAACAGCATAGTTATGTTTTCACTGTAGGGACATATATATATATATATATATATATATATATATATGACATAAATAGTGTTGTAAATATCAGCTATTGGCCACAGCAATATTAACTTTAGATAATGATATCGGTCCTAATTTTCATGTAGTTGAGGGTCTGGATTATTGCACTGATTATTTTAGTGGCAGTGTTTCTATTTATGATCGCAATGTAAATTGTTGTTCCTAAAACAGGTAGGAATGAAAAATAAGGAAAAAAAAATAGTAATAATTTGATGTTATCTCTCATCTTTTATCCACGTTCGATTCATATTTATCTCCAAGGATACAGTAATTTCATTTTCTTAATCTTATTGTTCCAAGTTTTCCAAAAATGGTGGGAGCTCCATAAACAATGCCCCATATCCTACATTTTATTTTTTACTTGACGGTGGACATCATAGACGCTACATTATCAAAACTGAATACAAAATGTTGTTTTATTATGAGTTTTTGATATAAAATGACAATAAATGATTTTTGTTACTTATTACTATAACTGAAAGATTGCTATTTCTAGGACGTCTTTCATGTCTCTTTGGGGCTGTTACATTTTGAAGAGCTGCTCATTTTGAAGCCACATGTGAACTCCAAATGCTGCATCATCTCCCAGCACCAATAAAACCAGGGGATATAAACCAGCTTACCAAATGAGATTCTGCTGGAAGTGACTAAATAATGCTGGGTTTCCACGAGGGACCCAGAGGGCTGCATGTCATCAATAGCAACACTTCAATTACAGCACATGACAGCACTCCAGCTCTGACGGTGTGGCACCACAGGCTAAAGGTTTGATGTTCAAGAGCCCCTCTTATCCAGATACACGAGACGCGTGCCCTTCAAAATCTGATGGCAAACCGGTCCGCGTGTCTTTCTCCTTGAGCCAATTAGATCTCCCATCTGTTCTGCTTAGATGTGAAGGTCACACTACATCCTGGGAGAGCGGAAAAAGACGGACCTATCTGCTAAATGTTTGATGAGCGAATGTTAAATTGTTTGTAGCATCAGAACAAGCTGTGTTTTCAGACTGGGCAGGAGAGTAAGAAGTGCTGGCAGGGAGGGTGGCAACAATGTGGTGGGAAGAAAATCATATATCTTTGAGTTATGCAGGAGAAGAAAGACTCTTTCTCTTACTTCTCTCTTTTCCCAGTTGAAAGTGGAAAATTTAGATTTATTATAGAAATTATGTCTACATCTCTCCTAAAAATCGTGAAGCTACAAAAACAATAATATATAATTTTTCTGGCCAGAAAATCAGTTCCACTCTAATTAAATCAGGTGTGTGGTTTAGTGATTATAGTTATTTACTCAGCAGTGTAGGCAGATGCCAAGTCATGTTTGAAAATAAAAAAAGTAAAATCTGTAACTGTAAAGGTTGTCAGGAGAGAGGAATCACATAAACTCACTATAGCCACGGTTCATACCACGATTAGCTTGTTATGCTGACATTACCGTATGACTTCTGCCCATTTTTTACTTAACTTTCCAATAATAAGCTTATAGTCAGCGCTCTAAACAGATACGATTTTTGAGCAATGTCCTTTTGAGACTTACCTGGCTTGTTCAAGGTTTCATTAACCATTTCTTGAACAAATGTCAAGCTGGTAGTTGATCAACATAATCATTTCTGTATTAAAAATCTGTTTTATTAGTCTTATGTTTGGACTTTTATTAACTGTAAGCCGTAAATATGAAAAATAACAGAATGAAGGCTTGAAGAATAACACACTGCAATTAATCTGTAAAAGAATTTCACTTTTTGAACTGAATTATTGTAATAAATTGACTTTTTGACGGTATTTCAATCTACTGAGGTGCGTCGGTTGAGACACATGTTTGATGGTGTTCAAGTTTATAGCACGCAATATGTAAAATAAAGAATTTTCAAAAATGTTAAAACCTTCGGGATGAAAGTGGAGTCAACTTGAATGACTGTGTTTTTCGTTTTTTTTTTTACCTTGTGTTAGACTTTGCTGGTCAAAGGTAGGCTGAGGTAGAGTCTGTGTCTCAAACTGACCGATATTCTGCGGCAAAGCATGTTGAGTGGTCACATACGAGTCTGCAAGAGCAAAGATCCACAAAACATTTGGTTAGGAAATGATTTCAGGGCACGTTTACACTTTAAATATTGGACTATAAACATTTGCTGACACAGCAGTTGATATGACTGAATTCTATTGTTAAACTCCATGAAAAACTTCATGGAGGGTCTCAGTCCAACAGGAAATAATACATGATTTTCTACATTTTTTATAAATGAAAATGTGTAAATTGTTGCATATATTTTCATATTCAGTATACGGCCAGTTTAAAAAAAAATAAAAGAAAGAAAAATAAAGATTTTTGTTGCACTAATGCAATTTATTCATTAGTAGCCGGGCAGGAAGTGAAGCAGAAAGAGATGAGAAAAAGAAAAACTTGTCTAATAATAGCCAATGAGTTAAGTTGATTCGTCTGATTCAGGGTGACAGTGATGACCCTACAAGTTATTGTTAGAGACCAGTTCATGTTTTAACAGACACTCTTCTTAAGCATATGAAATGCTAAAACACTTCAGAGACATATTTTTTCTAATTCTAAGTTTAAATAGACTGATATTGTTACTAAAGAGAGAACAAGTCTAAATGTAGTTATCCATTTCATATCTCTTTGTTCTCTCTCCAAAAACACATTTTACGTCTGCTGTTACCTTCGCCTTGAACTAGTGGCTGGTCAGCCAAAGGGGCATCGAGTGTCACTTGCTGGCCTCCATTCACAACCTCTCCCTGGCCCAGTCCCAGCATGCCTTGCTGCTCTGCTGCAGTAGTGGCAGCCTGCTGGAGAGACTCCGCCTCCATTTCCACCGGCATGTCATGGGTAACGGCGCCTGTTCCCAGCGGATCCTCTCCTGACTGTGGTTGCAGCTGCTGGGCCAGTTCATACCTGATTTCCCAGCACGACAGCAGAAAGTCAGAGCACAACACTAATCCTCAAAAAGGTCACTTCACTGCACACAAACAAACAAACAAACAAAAAACCCGCGAGGACCCACAAACCTGTGCGTCTTCATGTGCTTCCTACAGTTGGGTGACGACTTGAACGTCTTCTGGCAGTAGGGGCACATGTAAGGTCGGAGTTCGCTGTGAGTGGTCATGTGGCGCCGCAGGCTCCCGCTGGTGGTGAACGTTGTGTCACACACCAGACACTTGTACGCCTTTAGGCCCGAATGCGTTCGGATGTGAGCTTTGAGGACTCCGGAGGAGGCGAAACCTCGACTGCACTGGATGCACTTGTACGGCCTTTCTCCTGTGTGAGATCTGGGACAAACAGAGCAAAACGTCAACACAACTATAGTTTCACACACCAATTACACGGTGCGCGGTGGTGGGACTCGGCCAGACAGAGGTTGTGAATGGATGAAATGTTGGAAAACAACCGGATCAGTTGTGCGCAAACTGCTCTCCAATGCCTCCTCCAAGACCATGTACTACTTGGCTGACATTAATCAAATTCCATTAATTTTTAACGTGGTGGCATTTCCAGTTCATCTGTGATCCGAAATAAATTGCCTCTTGGTGTAGAGACTAATCTTCTGCTTGAGACATAACCCCATGAATCCATTTCTCCTAACAGAACTTTTACTTTGTGTTCATTCGTTCCTGCTTTTAGGCATTCTACATTACAGAGTAGATTTTTGAAAAATGTTTCGCTGTGGTATCTTGCTCATTAGTTTTGTGTTGGCCTTGTGAAACACTCCTGGACAACTTTATTTTTTTTTAAATGTGCATTAAAGATAAAGTTGCCATTGAGTTTGTGAATTATTCATCGCATTGAGATTTATTAACTTTAATGTAGTTATCATCCTGGAATTTTACCGGCAAAATGTCTGATCTTAATTACTTAGATTTGGTATAGAGGACAAATAATACTGAATGAGATATGTCATTTTAAAATACTAACAGCATCTGCCTTTATCTACTATTATTAATCAAAGTTCCATTCGGCTCAGAGCAACATTGTGTGACATGGATGGCTCTAGCTGATAAGAGCCTACAGTTTTTCTTCTTGTTTTGTTTCTGTGTAGCCACTTTTCTAGTTGAAACAGATACGACTGATGTAAGAAATCTTTTCTTTTTTTTTCTTTTCTTTTTTTTTTTTTTAAGTCTTCCACCAAGCGTCCAGGCAAACAGGGATTTATTCTTGCGGATACGTCTAAGCTCCTCCAGAAGGATCCGATTCGTATCAGATGAAAATGATCACATACAAACTCGGAAACCCCAAATGGGAGCAGATCAGCACAACACTGACAGCTGTAGAATAATGAAAAGCTCTGCTTAAAATCAAAGTGGATGTGTTGTCAAGATAGTGTTGCCACGGGAACAACATAAAAAAAAATAAAAATAAAAAAACTGCTGTGTCAGGGGGAGACATTTTTTATGAAACGAGAGGAAAAAATGTTTGTCATTATCCTTCTAGCATCTTTCACAGCTTGCAAAGAAATACAGAGCTGTGAAAAAAAAAGTGTTTTTTTGTCTCGGTTATATGGTTCAGATCTTCTAAAAAGTGTTAATATAAGAGAAATGTACGCTGAGTAAATAGAAAAAGGAGTTTTTAAAAGACACTTCAATTTACTAAGGAAATAAAAATCAACCCAAACAAACCTTTGTCTGGGTCTTTTTCCAGACAAAGATACGACAGACAGTCGTATCTTTGTCATTTTTCACATAGAATCATAAACTTTCTCTATGACACTGCCTTCAGAACGTCATCACAGCAACGTTTGTCCACTGATGCCATTCACAACCTTCTTAGGAGCGACGGACTGAGAAATAGTTTCTATGATAAGCTCAGTGGACTCACAGTTCCACCAGGTGTTTGCTAATTGTTGCTGCTGCTAGTCTGGAGGAGCTGTGTATGTGAACATGCATGAAATAATCAAAGCAACACTCCAGGTATGTTTTTGATGAAGGAATAACAATATAACATAATATAAAACTATTAAAAAAGCTGATTTTACAAAATAGCCCCCTTTAAGATTTTTATTTATAAAAAAAAATTAAATAAAACCAAGCACAGCTTTTATTTCAGTTCTCAGTTACACAAAAAGAAAATTCAACGGGGCATCCATACTTTTGGAAGGCGCTGTGTTTAGGCTTTAAGTTAAAACAAATTTCAAGAAGTTGGAACAAACAAAGAGAAAAACAAAAATTGAAGAGAATCACCAGTTTACTTCAAAGACGTTAATTTTTTTCTTTGGGGAAAAGCAGAGGGGAGACTTTCTTTACCAAACGTTAAGTAAATCCTATCAGCTCCTCCACCATCTACCAGCAGACAATTCTGTTTCCACCTTCTAATCAATTTATTCTCATTTCCCTCGGTGCTGTCATACCGTTCAACCCAAATTTATCACCTCCACCACCATCGCATTTCACTCTGCTCCATCTCGCTGGTTCCCCCTCCAGTTTTGTTCAGGAATTCATGGCATCATCCTGCCAATGTTGAGAGAATCTCAAAGAGGAAAACAATACCTGACATGTTGTTTTAGATGGCTTGACTTCTTGTAAGCCTTGCTGCAGTACTGGCACTTGTACGGCCTGTCGTTGCCCACAACTTCCAGGAACTGCTGAAAAGCAAGGCGGGGATTCTGGGAGGGGACGAGGCCTGGTCAAACAAACAAAAACACAAAACCTTCAAGTCTTCCACGTGAAGGCGCAATGGTGAGCATGCACACATTTATGACCAGCAAAATTCACAAAGTGTTCGCACCATAATCCGTGATGAGGATGGGTTCCTGCAAGGGGATGTCGGGCAGAGGTAAGATGTTCTTGGAGGCTTTGGCTTTGTTGGCTTTCCGTTGAAATCTGTTCTTCTTTTGCTGCAGGCTTTTGAAGTGTGACGCAATGTGCGTCTTCCTGTGACCGGACGTGCGAAAGATCTTGTCACAGTGAGGGCAGGGGAAAGGACGTACGCCTGAGGACACGGAGCGCAAAAGTAGCCACGTCACGTAAAAACTCACAGACAAACTCTAGTTATTAACCTGAAACAAAAACAATAATAAGCACAGGGTCTCTGCAGGGTCCACCCAGTCCAAATTAAAGCTTTCTAAAAACCTTTTTAAGACTATTATGATGAAAATTAAGTGCTGCATTACATCAGAAATGTATGATAGAAACATAGTATCGTATGGGTTGGCAACACACGTGATTTAATGGTGAAGATGAACGTTGTCTGGTCAAATTGCATTAGATTTACACTTAAACCATAATAGATGCAAACAAGCCTAGTTGCTAACTAGCTAGCTTACTTTGTTATAAATAGTTTTTTTATTAGCTAGCTAGCTAGTTTTTCTCCTCCCTTCATTTTCACTGCAGGAACCAGAACCAAAAGTTCCTACTAATAGAGCCACTAATATTTGCTAGCTAGCGTGTGTATATTAGCAGCTAGCTGCCAGTAACGTCAATTGCCTTGAGTCACAGAATGCAATGAAGTGACTCAAACGTTTGAATGACAGAAAAGTCCCACAAGAAAAAAGACTATGAAGGATATAAATAGTCCTGCCACCATAAAATATAAAACCTGTGATTAACGTATTTTAAGGCCAACTTACCTATTTTTTTTTTTTTAATGATTTTCAAACATTTTAATTCCTGAATTTTAGATACATGAATTTTAGACTTTTTAATGATGCGCGGACTCCCTGAAAAAATTAATAAATCTGATAAATGTCTGCTGAGTCGAATGGAAATAGTTTACATCACCAGAAAATATTAAACACTTGAAAGGAAGCATATAAATAACCACAGAACAAACACAAACGTAGACATTGAAAGCCTGGCTCTATCAACTCATACTAGAGGTTTCCACAGATGCTTGAACTGAATATGATCTACAACATGGCCTTTAGACGGTATTCAGATAAATAAAAGCCTTAGCATTGGCTTTCAGTGCAACCACTCCATGGGGCGGGCCGCCAACTTCACCTGTGTGCAGCCGCATGTGCACTTTCATGCTGCCTGAAGTGGAGAAGCGCTTCAGACAGCACTGACACTCAAAGGCCTTGATGCCTGTGTGTGTCTTCATGTGAGCTGTGAGGGTACTCTTCACTGCGAAAGCTCTGAAACACTGTTTGCACTTGAAGGGTTTCTCGTGGGTGTGGATGCGAATGTGGCGGACGAGGTCGCTGGGCTTCTTGAACTCTTTGGCGCAGTAAGGGCAGCCGTGCCAGCGCACACCGTCCTCTTCCCTGATCGAGCCTGTAGCGGAGCAAACAACTGAATCAGCTCTTCAAAGATATTCATGCTAAACGAACTGCTCCACGTCTTGTCATGTTACAACCACACCTTTCACTGTTTTACTGGTCTACTATCTTAAGGGTGCATTGTCACCTGATAGGCTTGTAGTTTCAGTTCAATTGGGGGCCAAACTTACAACATTTGTTACATTTTCAGGTGCAGCGGTTAATTTCACACTGTGTGAAATGAGCCAAACCCTTTGAAAAACCTGTTTACCTCCTCACCAGTGATGGCGCTGCACCTAGACCCACTGAAGGAAACATCTGAAGGAGACACTGAGCACAACATCCTTCTTCACAAAATGTAAGCAAAAATGAAATGGTGTGACACCTTAGTGGTTGTACGGTTTCCTTTTTGTCTTTAGTAAAAGACCACAAGTCATTTATCCCGGACAAGGAAGCTGGCTAAAACTGACGTGAAGATTAATGGAGCTAAATCCTGGAAGAACAAAAACAACTAAATACCCTAAATACCATTCTACACATGTATTTCCAGCTGTTTCATGTCATACATGAGATGAATTCTTAGCTATGAAAGCTTTGAAGACCTCTGACAGTAGCTCTCACAATTTAATAAATCTCATCTCACCCCACATCTTCACCTCCAGCCTACCTGGCATTTGTATAGGCTTCTTAAAAATGCTCCTCCTCTTCTCCCTTAGTGATTTGTCTGGGAACTCCACTTTCTTGCTCTCTGAAGCGGTGCCCTCTGTGCTCGGATTCTGAGACTCTCCGGATGGGGCGTCACTCTGCGGCTGGACGACACTCAGACCACTGTTCTCCAAAGCTTGCTGCAAACACAGAACAGCCATCCCGCCAAACCCGGATCAAAAAGCAGTCATAAGGAAAAAGTAGAAAAAAAAAACTGAGGAAACAAAGAGGAAAAGCTATTATCTACAAAATGATATTGGAGAATTCTTATCATCTCATCATTCATTTTTGGACATGGTTTGCAAAAGTGTAACATATCCAGGCATGAAAATGAAGCCCTGATCCCAATCCAAAGCTCAGCAATAATTGCCTCCATTTACACTGTCATGCATGGGTTCTATTAACTCTACGGCCGCGGCCACGGATGAAGCTTTCTGCAGAAAATTCATTATGTGCTTCCCATCTCCACTGCATGATTGAAGTTTCCCCTACAGTGAGAGAGACCCTGACGTCCAATCACTGCAGAAAAGCACATTGAATTATATCATAATTCAGTGTGCTTTATTATGATAAAGCATATAATAAAATATATGATATGTTTTACACCAGGCCCTTCCATTTCTTAACTGTTATCCTGAATGTATGGCTGCCATTCACTCACTTGCAGGATGTCCTGGTTGATTGCAGTTTCCATGGCAATAGCTGGCTCCGGAGGCTGAGGTTGAGCCGTCTCCCCACTGACCTGCTCCGACAGCTCCAAGAGCTGCTGGATGACATCTGTCACCCCCTCGCCACCCTCCGACCCCCCCACGGTCTGACCTGTTGTCTCGGTCTCCTGCAGTCAGATAAAGTAGAGGGGGAACAAGAGTGAAAATAGAGAGAGAGAAAAAAGGAATGAGCAACATGACGAAAGAACCGAGAGAGGCCAGAGTTTGATGGCTGACTAAGTTTTATTAGGGAACCCCCGGAGCATAAAATGAGCCAAGGATCGGGGAATGACTGAGCAGAATGCCAATGTCTGAATCACTGGTGTGCAAACACAGGTGACAAAATAAACACCAGGCTGTAGTTAAATCTAAATAAACAAATTTAATTTGTGGCAGCTAAACTGACATTTAACTGCAAATAAAAACAGTTTGAATAATCAGTGTGAAATTATTCACCATATTCAAATAGAATATTAATATAACCACACAAATTAAGTAGGCCAGTTTTTACAGAGACACAATTGAGACTTTTTTTTTTTAACCCATCCAGATGTCTGAATCTGGATGGTTTTTTTTTACTCCCATCACCTATCCGAGCATTTTAAAATGAATGCATTTGTCAATAAGTAGCCAAAATGCGGTGAATTGAAAAAAATGAATGGGATAGACATATCTACTGAAGACAAATCTAGCATCACATTTCATTAGAGGGCTGAGATCAGATTGTGAAAGTTTTTACACAATCAATGACATTACAGAGTTACGTTCTACAGAGCAACAGACACTACAGCATTTATATTTATATTTATCGTTTTCAGAGGTTTTTTTGTGTACTCCAGTAGTCAAGCAATGACATTTGGTTTTTCACTGTTGTGTCCTTGAACAATGACAATAAAGTACATCTAAGTCTAAGGGTGCTTTCACACCTGATAGTCCGGTAGACTCGGTTTGACTGAGGACCAAAACTGCAACATTTGTTCCATTTTCAGCTGGTGTGGTTCGCTTTCATACTGCGCTGTGTAAAACGAACCAAACTAAATGAAAATCCTGTTCACCTCCTCGCCTGTGGTGGCGCTGCACCAAGAACTACTGAAGGAAACAACACAAAACCTCAGAAGAAGACACTGAGTGCAACTTCTTGCTTGTTCATAAAATGTCAACAAAAATGGAGTGGAGTCACATTTGAGCTGTTGTAGGATTTCTCTTTTAACTTTGCTCAAAGATCACGAGTTATTTCTCCCGCTAGCACTAGTCTTGAGCTTTTGTTTTGGTTGTATTTTCCCAGAATGCCCTGCACTATTGTCCACTTCCTGCGTTTGGAGCGGTCTCCAGTTCGCTTGGCATTAACATAAACATTTGAACCACACCACAGTTCACTTCAACCAGGGGCCTAGGTTTATAGGTACACCAGTATGGTCTGCATCAGAGTTCGACTGTGCATTCACACCTCCCCAAATGAACTGAACTTTAGAGGCAAACAAACTAGAGCTCTGTTAAAAGGGCTACTATGAATGCACCCTGATATGAAGGCTATTTTAGTCCCAAAAGGTTGTGATTAGGAAAGCTGCTCTGCTCAGAATATTTTCTGACCACTCTTCACCTAAGATGTACATTTACTCCTAAAAATATAGTGGAACTGACCCATTAGCTAAGTCTACAATAAACTCACCTCTTGCTCCCTCTGAGAAGACATAGACTTATGTGTTGGACTAATGCAAGTATCTCTACATTTTGACCTCCAGCCGGTGCTTATTATCTGATAGACACTGAGCATGTGTGACAAGGCTTTTGCTCGCGTTTTCTTCCTCCGGCTCTCTTACCGAAGTGCTGGACGGCACCTCGATCACAGAGATGTGCATCTTGCTGATGTGGGCATTCAGGCTCCCCAGTTTCTTGAATACACAGCTGCAGTCCATGCACGGGAATAGAGGTACCCCTTTGGTCTGTGGGATAAAAAGGAATACACATGCACGCTGTTACTGCTTGCAAATGGCTTTTAAATATTCCTTTCTGTGACTTATTGCGACGCACTTCAAAGGGAAATGTATGACTATGGGAGCTCTAAATGGAGACCTGAAACCTAAGAAGACACAGAATTAGGTCTATTGATGGAATGTGAACTGGAAATTATTTGAAATCTTGAAGCTGAGCTAGTTTTATGTTGCCACTTTCACGCTCTAATCCTGAAGGAAGACTAATATTAAGCGCCACAGGCGAACACAGAAATCAGCACTTCAGCAGAATTGCACATTCTGTTTAAAAAAGGAAAATTCAACTGGATGCCCCATATATAACTCCTAACATGTGCTAACGACAGAATATGGAAGTTGTTACTGCAAAAGGTTTATTCAGATAAAGCAAAGAAAATGCAAATATGAAATATGTCTGTCAGGTTGCAAGAGAGTGAGAGAGAGCAAGACTTAAAACAGATATTAGGAAAGCTAAATTGAATACACAAAAGTTGTTCAACTGGATAAGTAACACAGAGGTACAGCAAACATCCACATTCTCATCTCTGATTTTACACACACAGAGACTGCTCTACTTCTGGTGCTAGCTGTGCTAACCATGCTAGTCAGCAATACAACATTGCCTTTCTTGCATTCCAGCAGAAAAAGTTGGTTTCAAAGGTGCTGCTCAATCAGAATGCTGTTCCCATATCTTCTTAGATTATCGGTCTTATAGACAAATCATGAGTGTCCAAAATTTTTATCAGCAGGTCAAAGTTTGTGGCGTTTCTTTTTTTTTTTTTTTTTTTATGTGGCATTTTATCTTCGAGTCCCTGGCAATAGCCAACGTTTGACTAATGGGTAATTCTGCCAGGACAATAAATCTTAAATTCCTTTTTTTATTTTGCTTTTGCAGCACAACCAGTGCATTCACCCAGGGGTATCCTTTTTTTTAATAAGTTAGAGGAGGGCTTCTGGTCAACTGTTCATCAAAAGTGAAGGCTGCTGTGAGAATCCATTCATTATGGCATCTCTAGGGAAATACTCTAGGGAAGTACCCGAGCTACAGCAACTGTGATGCGTCAGGTTTAATGTTTATAGAGAAGGAAGACTACATTTCTCCACGGACAAACATATCTGCTTCAGTTTTCTTAGTTTGCCAAGAATTCTTTCATGTGCATTGTTAGCAGTGTACCGTACAGCTCAGTCAATCGCTAAATCTACACTAGGAGGGAAACAAAACTGAATTTTAAAAACTTTGATTCAGGCAAAAAGAAACAAAAAATAACAAAAAACTGGGTTTTTTATTGGTGTGTCTAGCTGTTTCTAAGGCTCCACCTTCCAGCTGTAAAATCCAAATTAAGCAAGTAAGGTGCGCTGCTGAAATAAGAGAGAAAATTACTTTTGAATGGAAGCACTTTTCAAAACTTGACGTCAACACCTGAAATGATGGGTAAGTGATGGGCTTTGGAGGAAAAACTGTTGAGCACACCACTCTGGAAAAGGGGTTGATTGCTTTTTTGTGATGATCGCAACGGAAAACATCTGTGAGAGCGGACAGACTGCTCTCAGAAGCCGGGAAAGTTTTCTGAAGTAAAGTGGCTGCACTCTGGAAACCAAAAGGAAAACGTTGGAGAGTGTTTGGAGTGTGAAGCTATGAGTGGGCAAAGGCACTCGGTAAGGTGTTATCACCGACTTGATTGTAGGTTTGCGGCTTTAGGTTAAGACTGTGTGAAAATGTAAAACAAATACTTTTAACGAGCATAGCTGGGTGTAGGAAGAGCATTTGTCACATATGGTGGTTGCCGTGACATCAGAAAGAGGGTTAAAAAAAAAAAAAAACAAGAAAGAAGGCAACATGTCACATAACCAGCTATCAATGGCTTAAACGTTTTTTTTTCTTTTTCTATTTTCAGTGATCCAATGAATTCAGATGCTGAAAAAACAATAGATTAACTATGAACTTAATGTTCCATAAGAAATGCTTTGTTCTGAGAAGCGAGAGATAAAATTGTGCTAAATAAATTCATGGTTTCACCCTGTAATAGTTCAATAAGAAACATACTGAGTGGCCATTACAGAGGCAGATATATTGCTTCATTACTAGAGGGATGATGAGCTTGCCATAAAAGACTTCATTTCCGCTGTATAGTTTTAAGCTCATAATATTAGCCCTGCCAACAGCACCATGAATGTGTCCCACTACATTTATGATTTATTTTTACTTTTTGTAAAAAAATAAAAAAAAAAATGTATTTACTCATAAGGGAGTAAATACAAAAAAGCAGTGATAATTTCCCCTTATTAAAAGGAAGAAGCTATAAAAACCAACTGGGCTGGATGGAAAATATGATCCTCTTTAAATGTGGTTAACCAAATTTTGTAGGGCTGGCAATCAACTATTGTATCGCTTTTCCTGGCAATCGTAAACGGAAATGCATAAGAAAATGCAAATAAATACTTCAATTCCTTTTTGAAATAGGAAAATAAATATTTCATTGCCTAAAATGCAACAGTATAGCTTTCACTTCAGTGTACCATGCTCATTTGTACCAGAGGATGCAACTGCAGCTAAAAATCAATTACTAAATTAATTAAATAACTCAGCCCTAAAATCTTTTAGAAAAACCTGATCTAATTTATTTCACCATCATGTCAGACCAGTAAAGAAATCCCTTAAATAGAGATGTAACAGATGTAATTACTGGTTTAAAGTACAGCACTATCACATCCCTCTGTGAGGGTAGGATGACTCAGGTGAAGAGTAAACAGGAAACACATTATCTGCATAATGGATTTCTTATTCCTTTATCGATGGAGCCCCTGCAGTTCTGGTGAAAAAGCTTCTGAGCTCTTGTTTCACGTGTGAAAATATTACTGCCTCCACATTCCTGGAAGAACCACCAGCACTTAATCAAATGCAAACAGGAACCCGTTTCCAGGGCTCTCAATATGGCTACGAAGGCAAGAAAAACACCTGCATCCAATTTATCAATTAGGCCAGCAAATCATAAACGGCAAACTCTCTCTGAAACAAGAGAGGTGAAGCACTCTTGTGGAAATTGCATGTGTTATTTAAACGGCCCTGCTGTTTTGCCTTCTTGAAATAATTCACTCACTCATGTAAAAAGAAAAACAAACTTTATAGAGAATTTCTAAAACATAGAA